AGGTAAGATTTCATTCTTTTTATGACTGAGTCATATTCCATTGTATATATGTTCCTCATCTTTATCCATTTGTCTATTGCAAATGGTGCTGCAATAAACATAGGGGTGTATATATATTTCCAAATTAGTGTTTTGGATTTCTTTGGATAAATACCCAGAAGTGGGAATGCTGGGTCATATGATATATTTTTAATTTGTTGAGGAAACACCGTGATGTTCCATAGTGGCTGCATCAATTTACCATCCCACCAAGTGCACAGAGTTTCCCTTTTCTCCACATCCTTGCCAGCACCCGTTTATTGATGATAGCCATCTTACAGGTGTAAGGTGAAATGTCATTCTGGTTTTGATTTGCATTTCTTTGATGATTAGTGATGTTGAGCATATTTTCATGTCTATTGGCTATCTGTATGTCTTGGGAGAAATGTATATTCATGTCCTTTGTCCATTTTTTAATTTAGATTGTTTTTAGTGTTAAGTGTATGAGTTTCTTATATAGTTTGGATAGTAACCTTTTATCAGATGTAATATTGGTGAATTGTCCTCCCATTCAGTGAGTTGGTTTTTCATTGTGTTGATGGTTTCCTTCACTATGCAAAACCTTTTAAGTTTGATGTAGTTCCATTTGTTTATTTTCCTTTTGTTCCCCTTGCCTGAGGAGACATGTCCAAAAGAAATATTGCTAAGAGTGATGTCAGAGAATTTACTACCTATGTTTTCTTTATGGTTTAAGGCCTTACACTTAAATTTTTAATCCATTTAGGTTTATTTTGTATGTAGGGTACAAAAATGGTATAGTTTTATATTTTGCCTGTGTCTATCCAGTTTTCATAACACCATTTATTGAAGAGACTCTCCTTAACCCATTGTATAGTCTTGCCTCCTTTGTCATATTTTAATTGTTCAGTTGTTCACACAGATAAAATCCTTTCCCAGTTGTCATAAGTGACTTATATTACTTAGCTTTCATTTCATTGGCCTAAGCAAGTCACAGCACTACATCTAAATGGAATGGAGTGGAGAAATACAGTATTGTCATGTCCCCAAAAAGGAGAAAACTAGAAATATTTGGTGAACAGCACTAATAACTACAAAAATGACTTTATCCTCTTATTTTTCTTGTCAAAGTCAAAATTTCTATATTGGCATTGGGGGAAAAATCAGATGAGTTTGTAATTCTTTTCCAGTGAATGATAAAATCTTTCTTACAACAAAGTTGGTAAAATGGCCTTGGTGCTAAAATGATGCCTTTTTTCCCAGGGGAGTGGTTGGGGGAACCTACCAAGTGCTGCTGCTGCTGTGGTCTGTGGGAGACCACAGAGCCCTATCCACCGTCACACTCCCATGAAACTCTCCGCTCAGCACTCTGCCTAACAGCTTCACTATTGAAGGATCCCTCATAATACCTTTAGCTTGGCTTCCACTCAAAGGCTTGCAGGATTAATCCCCTCATGACTAACATCTGTATTTCCCTAAATCACTATAAAAAATCCAAGCATCCTAAATGATCGATCATCATGGAGATGTTTATTTCCATTCTGCTCTGTAATTCCACCCCTTCTTCCATCCCCGGACCCTCCACCCCACAGGGTGCATCAGCTAACTCCCTGCCAGGTGATCCTCTCTACTCCTCCTCGGTAAATTTACATTTCCTCTGGTTTATTCTCAAATATCTCTCATATGTCATAGAAAAAAAATAGATAAAATCAGATATAAAAACTACCTTACCTTCTCACCACCTGATCCACAAACTCACATCTGCCACCCTTGGTGAAATGGATCGTGTCCTCACATCAATTTAATGTCAACCCCTCTGGTGCCCTGAATCTCAATTCCTTTATCCTTCTCAAGAACGTTCTTTTTCAATTACCTGTTTTTCTCTATTAGATCATTCCAGCAAGTAAGAGGGCTTTTAGAGCGTCCGTTTATTTCTTCCCTTCACAGAAAAACTCCATGAAAGAAAATTTTATAATTGTCTGTACAATTGTACATCTTATTCTGCACTAAACATACTTCAATCATGACTCTATCAGGCCACTAAAATGATTTTTCCTATGTTCAAACGCTAGCAATAATAAAAGCTAACCCAGTGTGCCTATGAGGCAGGAAGTGTTCTAAATACTTTATACATAACCAATCATTTAATTCCAAAACCAGCCCTGGGAAGATTATGCTATTAACATCCCTCTTTTAGACACAAAAAACTGCTACTCAGAGACATTAGGTAACTTTTTCCACATCACACAGCTGCTAGGAGGAGCTTAAATTTGAACCTAGCTACTCTGGTTTTGGAATATATGCTCTTAACCACTACATAATATTACTTTTTTAAGGGAAAATTATTTATCTTCATGTATTGAACCTTTCAGCAGCTTTTGACCTATTCAATCCATCCCTCCTTCCTGAAACATTTCATTCTTCGGCTTCCATGTCTTTATTTGGGGGTTCTTTTTCTCACACTTCATCTATTGCTCCTTGTCAGGCTTTCTTGCTGCTTCTCTCATTGCATCTGGGTTTGGGACCTTCTTTTCTTTCTCTTTCTTGCCAGTAGCCTCTCCATGGTAACTTGGTTCCGTCTATGGCTTGCACCTACTGAGTATGTATCTGCAGCCCAGATTTCTTCCCTAAGCTCTATTTCATAAATGTTGTTGCCTGATTTAAATCTCTACTTGAGTGTCTTATAAGGACCTCACATTTAACACAGACACAAAAGAACTATAGATATTGTAGCCCAACTCATTTTTTTTTTGCGAAATTCTCCTTTTTCTGAGGCGTTTCTACCTACCAACACCACTAACCTCTACTCACTCAGGGCAAGCATAGGAGTAGTCCTTGATTCCCTTTCCCCTCACATTTTCTCCTTTAGCAAGACAAACCAACTCTACATCGCAATACCTCTAACCTGCTACTTCTCCGCAAGCGTGCTGCTGTTAGTCTAGGGTAAGTTCCATCTTTTATCACTCGTACTCCTGTAATCTCTTCATAATTGGTTACCCTGATTCCATTCTTGCTGTCTTCAGTCCCTTCTGTGAAGTGCAGCCTGAGCAAACCCCTAAAGTGTTCATGAGATCAGACCATTTCTAACCAAAGATTTCCCTTGCAGTGAGAATAAAACCCCATCTCCTTACTGCGGCGTACCAGCCCCTGTGTGATCTTTCCACAGTTCCCTTCCCCTCCCAGTTGTTAGGCCACACTGGTCATCCTGCTGTCCTGAGAGCACACCATGCTTCCCCATTTCTGTGCCTTGTCATTGCTGCTCCCTCTCTTCGGAATGCTCTCCTTCCTTAGATCATCATAATGAGTGTTTCCTTCTGCTCACTCAGGTCATTATTCAGGTACCTCCTTAGAGAGGTCTTCCTTGAGACTCTTGCTAAAATACACATTCTCTCCCTGCTTCATTACGGTCACTAACATACTGCATTTCCTTCAAGGAGCTTAAAAAATCTAATCTTGTCCTACAGAATCGTGAACTTACGTATTATCATTTCTTTCTCCGGAGGAGTATGAGCTCTTACTCAGTATCGACTCAATGAAAATGCAACTAAGTACAGTGTATAAAGCTGTATGATGACTTGTATAATACAAAGCAGTCAATAAATTAAAGCAAATGAAATCATCCTTACCTAAGAAAGTATTTTCCAGAGCATGAGAGGATAGGAACAGAAGTCTGGCTCTTAAGTTTTTAGCTTTTATAGAGATACCTTTGTGTTTGAATCAAACAGAGAAGAATCCTTATTTGTATCTATAGTGGCAGAAAAATCTTTGTGACCTTGGAAATGGTATTTGCTTCTTGAACGTTCTTATGAGAATTACATATCAAAACTGTATGTCATACCTGAGCTTCTTGATCTCATATGGAAGTGGACAATGTGTGTGATTTGCTCTCTCTTGAAAGAAAAATTTAAAGATCTTTAACCTGAGTGATTGCTCAGTGGTTCCTCATCTCCCAGGGGAAGATGAATATAAATGCATATTGTGCTGACTTCATTTAAAATGGGTCTCAATATGTTTGTGACATTAAATGACTTCATCTCTTTACATTTTCTATTTGAATTTCTGTTTTTAAAGCAATCACAGTTTTAAAACTTCTGAAAGTATAGTATTTCAACAAATGGTGGATTCTAAGCTATTTTTTGCAGGTGAAACTTTTGCTTTATCATTTCACAGTAGGGTTAATACTTTTCAGAAGAAATGCTGAACAGAAAATGATGACAGCAACTAGAACCTGATCATAGTGTGATGTCAGGTCCAAAGATTTCATCTTTGCAGCCGTCCTGCAAGGCAGGTGACATGGCCAGGGAGCCGCACAGCGTTTTGGACTGGGTCTCCAGGCTAGATGTAAACCCACCCAAGTTCTGGCTGCACTTGGTGCCATGTGGTGGCAGTTGTCCCCTCAGGCAAAATTGGAAGGAATAATTTGGGGGTTCTGAAACTGGCTGGAACTTTTGGGACAATAATAGCAATTTCAAGAATCAACCAATTAGTTCATTTCCAGGGAAACTGTACAGAAGAATAGTACGGAAGGGGCATCCCCCCTTTATCATCGCTTCTTGAAAACTGTTATTTTGCCTGACCTTACCTTCAGCTGCAGAAGAACATGACCTTTATATTAACCCCCAGCCCCACGGCAGCATACCCTGTCCAGGGGTTTACCTTACTTTGATAAACATGTTCAACAAAAAGGTGTAAAAAGGAAGCAGCATGTATATATGTTTTCAATGGCACCCTATATGCCTCTATAGTTCAGACTGTTCTAACAGATTATTTTAATCCCGTCGCTAATTGTTCTTGCTTCACCAAGCATTTGCTGACAGAAACGGTCCTGCCACATTTAGAAAAGAAATCAGCTCTGCATTCCGGAGTCAGCATCGCTGTAGTTCTAGTTTCATGCATGGTGGGTCCCTTATAGGGCTATATTTAACGCACTTCTAATTAAAAAGAGGGAGGAAGTGTCCAAAGCGTTCTCAGTGTCGTCTCCTCCTTTGTCTTTGCTTGTACAGCTCACCATGTCAAAACGGGCACTTGTGAGGTGGTGGCGCTCCACAGATGCTGTAACAAGAACAAGATAGAAGAACGGTCACAAACGGTCAAGTGCTCCTGCTTCCCCGGGCAGGTGGCAGGCACCACGAGAGCTGCTCCATCTTGCGTGGATGGTGGGACTTCTTACATTGCTCATTGCGGTGATATAGCTGGGGACTGCTTAGAACTGGAACCCCACTATAATGCTGTTCACCGGGCCAATTCTGAGGGACCATGCTGTAAATTGCGGGGTTGATACGAGGTTATTTGGAAGGTGGTCTAAGATCTTATGCAGTTCAGTAACAAACGGCATTATAATGAGGTTCCAACAAGATCATGTGCTGCTCTGATACCATGGAATACTGATTTGCCAGCTGGGGATTTGTGTGTAAATTAATTGGGGAAGAAAAGATGAAAACAGATGGTGAAATAGTATGAATTTCTAAACCCATGGTGAAAAAAAGAAACACCATACATATAAGAGAATGTTTAGTTGTGGATAGAATTTACATAAAATGTTGGTTATTATAAAGATGCATCAAAATGCTAATTTCTTTACTTGAGTATTTACCTAATTACAAAAGGATATAAATTCTTATATGGGACATTTAATTGATGTTACCATAAATAATAATTTAAGTGCTCATATTAGTATGGTACATTTTTGTGATGATGGTTCCTGCCCACAGTAAAAAAAAAATTGCATTAACTCTAATATCTGATTTTCAGCCTACTGTGGGAAATATGACATTTATTCTAAAATATTGACTAAATTGGTCAGGGGCTTATTTGTTTATGTAAATCAATGCATGCATACATACTCATAGTTTCTTTAAAATAGATTTGTTTTCATGAAGCCTACATATTCACATGAAAAATCCTTCAACAATGTGCTTCTAGTTTACAATGCTATGTTGTACATTTACAAACTTAAGAGGGTAGATCTCATGTAAAGTAACTATGCTACTCAGAAAATGTAGATTTAGTTGCTTTGGACAAAACAAGGAGCAAGCCTCAAAATCCAGTCTACCCAGTGGTGGGGAAAGACGGTGGATTTCTCTTTCTTTAAATGTGCAGTCAGAGAAAGAAACCCACATGGAAAACGCTGAGTCAATTTTCTGTGTCCTGTAGCTTCCATAGTGGAACAGAAATGGTGGTGTCATATGCAGCCATGTCTTGAGGGAGAGGAATGTAAAGTTCTCCCGGATCGGAAAGGATGGAGCTGTTCCTCTGGGAATAAAGTGAAAACAACTAGGGTAAGTGGACAGCCAACTTGGGAAATTGAAATGTCTCTAGAATGAGAGAGTCTAATTCTCCATAGTACATTTTTCCTCCCATTTTCTCCCTAATTCATTTTTCCATAGCACCTTTTAATTCAGAATAACATCTCTAGATTGCCATCAACTGTCATGCTATCTAATAAACAAACGCTGTTTGTTCCTTCATGAGATACTAACAGTCATAGGAACATCCCCCAAGGATACATATTACAAATTCTGGAAAGGTGACCCTGATCCCTTATTCTGCTCATGGATAGAAATCTGAATAGATTCATAAAAATGAATAAATCTTAGATGTTATTTTATATATGACAATAAAATTGGCCAACTTTCTTTCGAGAAAGTATTTTGATCTCCCTGATTTCTGTATTAATAAATAGTTTTCTAATAGAATATAAATCTTTACATGGGCCTATTTAATTTATATTACCATAAATAATTCATTCAGTGCTCAAATTAGAATGATGTACTCCATGGGTCAATATGAAAATAATACTCTTTAGACAATGATATATTTCAGCTTGTAATGCTAACTTCTGGGAAATGAGAGAGAGGTGAAAAATAGCATTATTCTTTGACTTCCTAATTAGCTCAGTGGATGTTCTGGACTAGCAGACTTTAAATTATTTTCTTTGTGGAATCAGCTAGTGAAGGTTCTGCCTTGTTTTGCCTTTTGCTCTGAAAGGAAAGCAGACAACTGATTAGAAGTGAATGATGGCCCAAGGGGATGTTTTATAAAAAACGTTAACATAAAACTAGATAATGGTTAGTTGACAGTAACACTTTTTTAAAAATCTTTCTGGACACTGCAAGAGGATTATTTTATAACCCTCCCATCAGATATATAATTCAGTCTTCCAAGTAATGATTGTTCAGATGCAGAAGTAACCAAATTTTCCATAACATAAATAATAACTATATTTTATCCATTTTTTTGTGACTTTAAGTTGACTAAATACTGGCATGCTATTCCAAAATCCAGAGCACATGCTCACTTCATTTGAGGAATTGTATTATTCCGTTAGTTAGCATGTAATATAATCCATATTGATTTATCAAAACATTCTGGCTATATAAAATTTACTTAAAAGCAATTTATAGCATGAAAATGTTTTTTCCTAACACCATGAAGTCTTAGTTCAAAATTGCACTTATAAAAATTCACTGGGTTTGAGGTTCTAAAACAAATTTTTTTAAAAATAGTGAGTTCTCTACAACTAAATTTTATGTTTTTATCACTTCAATGGACATTAAGCTAACAGTTATTGGATACTTAAAACATATGACATATACTGAACAAAGTGTTTCATGTGAATTAGCTCATTTAATTCACTTAATAACCCTGTAAAGAAGATAATATCTTCTTTTTACAGATGAGTAAACCTAAACTTCAAAATGTTAAGTGACTTCCCAAGGTCATATAGCTAATTAATACAGAAGCCAGGGTTCAAACCACACAGTCTCATTCCAGACTTAATCTCTTAAACTGTAATTCATACTACATAATTTAGCATATCCTTAAATAATAGTAATAAAAGTTTCCTATAGTTCTTTTCATATGAGGTAGCCCTTTAAAAATAGCTTTTAACATTTTTGATCATTGAAATGAGAAGGTCAAGACAATATGATCTAAATTCTCATAGGAGATTGTTTCACAAGTGTTGCTTCCTTCTTGCTTGGGCCACATTCTCAATTGTCCAAACTTAAAATTCAGTCTCTGCCTCACAAATTCTTCATCATGTAATGAAACAAGATGGATAAGAGACTGATGACTCATGAATTTTCAAAGACCACATCTAGATTCTCCAGTTTGTTTCCATTATAAAGTGTTATCCCACATATAGTGGGTTACACTTCCTGTTTTTTTTTGTTCATCTCTTTTGCCCTGGAGAACAACGGAGAGGATTCATGCAACAGTAGACATTTGGATTCAGTTACTTTTAAGATTTCTTCCAATTCTGAGAGTATATCGCTTCTTATTTGAAAAGGAAAAATCATCACAGGTAAGAGAAGCCAAGAGGACTTGAAAGAAAGAGCTTCTCAAGTACAATCAAAGCAAATTATTTTCTTTTCTTTTTACTTCAGAAGAAAAAGATTGCTGGTAAAAATGAAGCTACTTAGACATTTTGACTAAAGGAACATTGTGGCATTCCAAATGCCTAGGCAAAAAGATGTGCAATTATGAATGTTAGTGTAGCTCACAAAACAATCTGGATAAATTCCCTGAGGTGATAAAGGAGTAAAATTTCGAGGAACTTCTAGGCAAGATGGAAGTGTATGTAGACGCTGTGCTCACCTCTTCCCATGACTACATCAGAATTACAACTAAGTTATAGACCAGTCATCATTGAGAACCACCTTAAGACTAGCTGAAGAGAAGTCCTGCAACTAAGGATATAAAGAAGCCGTGATGAGACATGGAATGGGCAGTGTGGCAATTAAGAATTGGGAGGGATCTCTCTACTGTGGAGGTCCCCCAGGAGGAACACGGGGTCCCAGCCACACATTGGGCTCCCCAACCTGGGGCACCAAAGCCAGAAAGAAGAGTCCCCATAACATCTGGCTACAAAGATAGGCAGAGATTGCACCTCAGTGATGGAGGGCTGCTGGAGTCCCAGGTATTCCTCTTGAGGGGCTACCACGTGGACTCACATGCACTTGCTATGGCTCCAGCACAGGGGCAGCAGCTCAGACAGTAACAGGAACATAGGGGGAAGAATTGAACTGACTAGCTGAGGGGTGAGAGCTGGAGGGGCAGCTCTCCCCAGGGACTAAAGTGCAAGAAGGCACCATTGCTTCTTTGTTGAGCCCTCCCACAACCTAGCTGGTGAGTGCCAAATGTGAGCTCTCCAATACCCTGGCTAACACTGTTCGCCCCACCAGGGTGACTCCCTGAGACTATACCCCACCCAAATAATGTGCCTGCCTCGAGCTGCTTCCAGTGGCATTTCCAGAGGAGAAGTCTACCTTGGCTCATGCTATGGACTTTCCTCAAAGGTCCACAAACCCCAAACAAGCAATGGCCAGCTTTAGCATGCCCTATACCTCTTTCTAAGTGACCCCAAGTGATGGCCAGTCTTAACTTGCATTGTAACGCATCATGTGGCCCCTCGCCTGGCATAAGCTATGGCCAGCTTGGCTTCAAACTTAGCTTTAACTAAATGGCCACAAGCTCAGCACAAGTGGCAGCCAGCTCATTTCACAGCATAGCCTCTCCCAAGCATGCCAGAAACAGCAACCAACTGCAGAGCACTTGGTAGCTCCCACCAGGTGGCCCTAAGCTGGGCACATATGGCAGCTGACCTTGGCCTGCACTGGAGCCCTCTTCAGAAGTTATAAAACAAATGCATCATGTGGCCAGCTTCAGCCCACACCACAGTATCACCCAGCCAGCTTCACAAACAACATAGCCAAAGAACAGACTCGGCAGGCACCAGAGCTCAGCTGAAGGGACTCCTACTCCATGGGGGTCAGCCCCTGAACATCAGCTTGCCTGCTGTAGTCATGGTTAGCCCACACAGCCAGTCAGCTTGAGGATCAATCCCACCCACTGAAGTGCCAGTAACAATCAAGGCTCCACTACAGTGGGAGAGGGCACACACAAGGGACACTCCTGGAACACCCTGCTCAGGTGAACAGTGAGACTACGCTGCTGGGCATCACAGGACACCTACTAAGAAAAGGTGACTTCGTCAAGGCTGGGAGATGTAACATATCCACCTATTCCATAGAAACAAAAACAGGGTGCCAGCCCAAATGAGGAGACAAAGAAACATGCCAAATGAAAGAAAAGGACAAAACTCCAGAAAAGAAACTAACAAAATAGAGACAAGCAATCTACCAGATATAAAGATGCTCAATGAAATTACAGGAAGAATAGATGCATTCAGTAAGAACCTAAACAAAGCCATAAGAAAAACAAGTAAAAAATGATGGATATAATAACTGAAGAGGGCGACAAGCAACACCACAGAAATATAAAAAACTATAAGGAAATACTGTGAACAATTATATGCCAACAAATTAGGCAACCTGGAAAAATGGATAAATCCCTAAAAACATACAATTTCTCCAGAATGAATCAAGAATGGAAAATCTAAACAGACTGATAACCAATAATGAAATTGAACCAGTAATTAAAAAAAAAACAAAAAACTCCAAACAAACAATAGCCCCGAAGCAGATGACTTCATAGGTGGATTTTACAACATTCAAAGAAGGAATAAGCACCTATTCTCTGTTCCAAAAAGTTGAAGAGGAGGGAAGGCTGCCAAACTCATTTTATAAGGCCAGCATTACCCTGATACCATACAAAAAAAAAAAAAAAAAAAGAAAAGAAAATTATAAGCCAATATCCCCGATGAACATAGATGCAAAAATCCTCAACAAAATAGCAAGCTGAATTCAGCAATACATTAAAAAGATCATATACCATGATCAAGGGGGATTTATCTTTAAGATGCAAGTTTGGCTCAATATATGCAAAACAATTAATGTGATACACCACATAAACAAAATTAAGGATAAATATCATATCAGTAGATGCATTTGACAAAACTTAACATCCACTTAAGATAAAAGTCTCAGCAAATTGGAGCTAGAAGAACTATACCTTAACATGTTAAAGGCTTATATATGATGAATGCACAGCTACAATCATACTCAATGGGAAAAAGTGCAAGCTTTTTCTTTATGATCAGGAACAGGATTAAGGATGTCCACTTCTCCCACTTTAAATCAACATAGTTTGGAAGTTCTAGTTACAACACTCAGACAAGGAAAAGAAATAAAAGCATCTGAATTGGAAAGGAAGAAGTAAAACTCATTATTTTTTAGATGACGTGATACTATATAAAAAGAAGCCCATAGATTAAAAATAACACTAGAACTAATAAATGAATTCAGCAAATAGCAGGATACAAAATTAATATTGTGCAATTGGTTGCATTTTTATATACCATAAAAAACTATCAGAA